AAGTTTGTTTTAAATAACATTCTGTCAGTATCAATGTTGTTTACTGGAAAACATTCGCTCATTAACATATTTCAACTCGATTCGTTTCCACACAAACACAAAGAAAATAACAGATTTGATAAATAGTCGTTTTGAAATAAGTTCTTTGTTCATCAGAGACTGTGATTCTGGAAACGTCCGACTCGAGAGACTGAACTGGAGAAAGTTGATTCATGTCTTCAGACGTGAATAAATTCAAACCTGTTGAAAAACATCAGATGAGTAAATAAAAGTAAAAACAGAGAAACTTTAAACTGAGGATCACGAATCTACACAATCACTTTTCTTTAAATGTTGATGGAAACTCATAATTATTGATTCATAATTTCCAGATGAATTTATTTTGCTCTCCGGTGAATTCACGTTGACTCTGTTTGTATTCGATCTTTTTCAGATTTCAGAGAAGCGTTTCCTGTGCGGAGGTGAAGTCTGAGTCCTGCTGGTCAGGTGGTTTACCTGCGGCCTCAGACGTGTCTCTGATTGGACGCTCCAGCGGGGGTCAGAGGTTCCCCGTGTCCCTCATGGCGTCCTGTATCTGTCTGTTGAGCTCAGCGATGATTCTGTCTTCGTGGGTGTAGACGCCCGTCCTCAGCAGAGTGTCTCTCTCCTCCAGCAGCCGGCTCAGGTGCTCGTCGGCGCTCTCGTTGAGGCCGGGGCCCGACAGGGAGGAGGCGGGGCCTAATCTTTCCTCCTGCTGCTTTAACCTGGAAGTGAAAATAAAACGAAATATTGACTGAAACGATCGTTTCCAGTTTGTGTTCACACAAAACAAAAGGGTTCATCCTCAGTGAGCAAAGACAAGAAACCAGTTGGAATCACAAGCGGCTCGAAGTGAACGACCTGTTGAGCTCGTTCCTCATGTCGTCCATCTCCTGTCTGTCCTGTCGGACCACCTCCTTCTCCTCCGTTGCTAGGTAACGCTGCCTCATGGCCTCCAGCTCCGCCTGCTGCTTCTTCAGACGCGTCATGGCGTTTTCCTGCTCGCGCTAAACAAACACGAACATTTTTAATTCAAGTGACTTAAATCACATTTAACAGAGCAGGTCTCATCTTCATCATCATCTTCATCTTCATCTTCATCAATAACATGTTTGGTTTGTTGAACATCAGGAAAAGTGAAAAATCCTCAAACTGGAGAAACTGGAACATTTAAAAATGAGTAACTGGTTAATGGGCGGAGCTGAATCAGAACAGACTTCCATGTTGTGTGAGATTGTTCTCGAGTTTTTTATCTTAAAATCAAACTCTCGACATCGTCTGAGCTGAAAAATATCTGAAAACAAAAGTCTGACCTCGTGTGAGCGTTCAGACGCCGAGCAGCTGTTTCTTCTTTCTAATTACACAGACTGAGAGAAGTTCGGTGATAAATTTGTCTCGTTTCACATTTTCATAAAAACCTCCCTGAGAAAAATGCTCCGGGACGTGAAGAGAATTCACACAGAGACCAAGAGCAACAACGAGAACAGAAAGAAAACTTCATAAAAACGTCTAAAAGTCATATTTCTCTCAGCTGCTCGGACCTCCAGCTCCCAAAATTACCCATAATACCACACAGGGCTCGGTCGACTGGCTTACAGCTGCACGTCAATAAATCAAAGACATCAAAGGATCAGAAAACAAAATTATACTCCCGGAAAATGAAATATAAATCAAAAGATTCTGAATTAAAAGCTGCAGGTTAAAGAACCTGCTCCAACAAGAAGAGAGACGCCTGTGTGTGTATATATATATACATATATATATATATATGTATATATATACACACACTGATAAACAGTGGTTAATACACAAACATTCTTACACATATACTTAAATCTATAACGCAGCAGAGTGATCGACATCATCAGCCGTAAAAAAGAAAAGAAAACAGAGTGAGATGATGTGAAACTGTCTGAGTCCTGAGACTGAACAGAACGACTGCTCAATGATTCTGGACGCAAAACTAACATTTTCACATCGCACACGCACACGCACACACACACATACACACACACACACACACAGGAAAGCTTCTATTTTCACATGCACCTCGTAACAGAAAAAAACACGTGAAAACGCACACAATCTCTCATGAACACATCAGTCATTCAGACTCACACACACAGACACACACAGACACACACACTGTGTTGACACAGGCTCTGCTCTCTGTGGACCATTAGCCGTCTGTGTTTCAGGCCGTTTTAAGGCTAATTACAAGAAAAACAAACAGGCCAAACATTTTCTCTAGTGCCGGCTGCCAAGGACAATCTGAGGCCGAGTCCTGAAACAATTAGAGGACGAGGTGATACTGAGGCCTCGGTGGTGAGGAGGTAAAATAGAAGAGCTACTAAACTCTGTCCCGTCGCTGATGTTTTACACTCAGGAATCTCCCAGCAGCCTCAGCTGACACGCCACAGAGGAGCGGCTCAGTACCGGTCCCATTGAAAAGCTGCAAACACAACAAGTTTGTTTTTCTTCATCTCTTCTCTTTAGAGAAACGAGACGTGACTCCAACACATTTAAAATACAGAGATCCTCATTCAGGAGAATTCAAATGAAACGTTGAGACTATAGTTGAAATGTTGAACGCTCTGCTCATGATCCAACTCTCAGACCCTTCTTCTTCCAGCAAAAAGATTCCATGAGGAATTTAAAAAGAGTCAGATCTGGATTAGATTCAATAAAACTGTTTTGAACCTCGAGTGGTTTGGAGTCACGTTTGAACAGAGCCAAGACAAATCTGTTGGAATCTGTTGGGGTCAAATTTGTCGATCACACTGTTCTGTCATCTGCGGCTCGCGGGACTGTTGATGAGTCTTCACATGACGAGTCTGAGCGTTCACATAAACGTGGGTCAGGAGGAAGTCGGCCGATCGACCCGAACACTGGAAACACGTTCAAATAAACTCATCGTTATTTAGTTAACATGCCATCGCCGCAAGTGTCCTGAGGGGCCGCGGAAAGTTCTGCGCTTGTTTAAATATTTTTCAAAGGGTGGAAAAATAAATGACGATGTTCTTTTTAACAGATCGCACCAGAAACTTGATATCTGCTTCATGCCGCTCCGAGCAGAGGCACAGAAAGATGACGAGCACCCTCATCCCTCCTTCAGAGCTCCAACTCAAACAACCAGACGGTGGTAAACTGTGGACAAGCTGTGAGCTGCAGAGGGACCGTCCACCCCGAGAGGAAGTCCACACGATGGACGGAGGTTTGAAACAGTCGGGGGCTGATTTCTGGGATGGATGACCAGCCAATGACTTCTCCTCCCCCGGGTTCCCCTCGTTCTTTCCTCCATTACTCGTCTCTTCTTTCAGAGGTCAGCAGCTCAGAGCAGCCGGGGGAGGACGGCTCAAACAAACACTTTCATGCCGCTGCTCACATGTGGACACACTTTTCTCAGCTCAGATGTAGTTTTCTGAGCAGCTCGCAGCCTGTGGGAGTTCAGGGGGAGTTTTCTGCTGCCGCCGTACGAGGTTTTTTGGGGATGTGATGGATAAAACATGAAGGGAAATGAGGCAGACTGGAACTCACATTAGAAACGAGAGAGAAACGAGTCTCCGCAGCAGCTGAAATCACAGATATTATGAAAGTATGTTTGAAATGTCTGTTTTCTGTAAAGAGCTGACAGACTGACGCTGAGGTCGCTGCTCACCTGAACGTTTTCAAGAGCACTTTTCTGCTTTGACGTGCTGAAGGTCAGTCACTGTTTCCAAAGTCAAGTTCAGACCAAGTTCAAATGACACAATCCTTCAGATTTCAAAAAGTCCACGAGCATTGTTCAGGTTTTCAGATGTTTTGATGTGGTAATAGTTTGCTCACTTCTATCGCTAACAGTAACAGCTGAAGAGGTTAAAGGTCGTGGGTCTGGACGTCTTCTGCCTGTTCGTTAAACAAAGTTCCGTTGTAATTGATTAAAGTTTCATATTCTTACAGAAGGAAAATGAAGTACTGAAGTGCTACTACTGAAAAAGTGAAATCGAGTACAGTTACAATAAAATCATAAAGTAGATGTTGAGATAAGAGATATTTCAGCTTCATGTTTGTACAGTGGGAGGAAGAGAAAACCCGTCATCCATCTTTATTTACAGTTCACAGTCTGAACAGTCAAACTTCCACTAGAACGTAAAGTTGACTGACGTCAGATTCATCAATATGAAGTTTGTGTTGGAGACAGTTTCCCACTGAAGGAAAGTTATTTGATTTTCACATCTTATTTGAACGTGAGCTACATCTGTTCGTCCCTCCTGGTTTATTGATGTTGTTTTTCAGTCTAGTTGGACAAAAAACCATCTAATGCAACGACCGTCTGGAACCTTCGAGAAAACATATTCATGTCAAGTGCAACACTCGACCTCAGTGACCCTCCCCGTCTGGAACAAACAGCCGTCATTACTGAGGCTCACTGATATTCCAGGAATGAGCAGTGGGAACCGTCAGCGACTCCGCAGAGACCAGTAAAACTAAAATTCCCTCAGACGACACGTTGCATCTGTTGTTTGACACAAAGTTTTAAACAAACACACTCGGTATCATGAGACGATGGTTTTCGTCTGAACCGCCCCCGAGGGAACCGAGCCCGAGGCTTAGTGAACTGGTCCGAACACAAAGTAACTGAGCAATAAAGCTGGGAGTCAAACTCATCACTACTTCAGAATAAACTAACAGTGAAGGTTTGCTCAAATTCTCAACGTGAGATCAGATCAAGTGAATTTCTTTATATTCTAATGATCGACAGGTGGAGACTTGTCTGGACAGAGTTTCCCACAGAATTCTTTCAATCAAACAGAAGAACATTGATGCCACTTGCAGACACAACTGCAGCTGAAACTATGAGGTCTGTAACAACTTTCTGGACGAACCTGCAGACACACATACGATGAGAAAACAGTTTGTTCATGAAAACCGTGACAAATCAGAATACGCTGAGTCGTCAAGTCTGTTTTGAGGCCCTTGTTACTGTCGGCTTCACAGATGTAAATACATAAGTTCTGTGATCCTTTCAATAAAACACTTTATTTCTCGGTCTCACCACCACCATCCTCATTTAGCTGCTGCTTTAATCTTTGTTCCAATATTTTTGTCCTGAAAAGACAAACCTAAGCTCCTTGTCCCAATATTTTGAATTTAAAAACTCTCTGATCTAATACCTCACTGCTGCCTGGATATTAATTCTTGCTCTGCGTCTGTGGCCCCCCGCGCCTCCTGGGTTGAAAAGCACATTATTCCTCGGACAAGAATTTTTATGATCCGACTTGAGCTAAACAGCACGCCATGCGAAGCGCTGAGAGGAGAGAATGAATAGGCGAGGAGAGGCCGAGAAAAACCAAACAAGCCCCGGCTTTAAAAACCGCCGAGGACCAAGACGGATGGTCGTGTAAACACAGGCCTGATATTTTATAAAAAGCGAGAGTGTGACGTCTGAATGGTTAGCGCCTGGCTAGCTTATTGCTCAACGCAATCCCAGGGATGATTAATAGGCGAGGGGTGACACTCAGCGCCAAACCCCCTTAGAGCCGCATAAATCACACCATGTTTTCTTTACAATGATGTGGCACTTAGTGAGGAGGGAGGAGGAGGGGTGAGACGGAGAGATAGATCGGGAGGAAAGAAAAGAAAGGATAGAATGGAGGAAGTGACACAGGAGTGAAAAGAAAGTAAATGAAAAAGCATAAAATAATAGAGTGAGAGACAATTAAAGACAGAAAGAGGTTTATGAAAAGAAAACAAAAGACGGAAGAGAGGAGAAATGAAATGTGACTGTTAAAATGATGATGAGATCAAGAGAAAAGGAGGTAAAGAAAGAGACAGAGAGAGAGAGAGAGAGAGAGGAGGAAAAATGTCCGCCCTGTTTTCCAGCTGGTTAATGTCAGTAACAGTTATTAGTTTGTCAGATAAAGTCTGTGTGTGTTTACATTAGTCATAGGCCGACTAAAGCCCCACTTAGTGCCCTGTGAGTGTGTGTATGTACACACACACACACACACACACACACACACACACACACACACACACACACACACACACACACACGATATAATCTCACGGGACCAAACTATCGTCATTAAAATCTCTGTGGTTTGATCCATAAGAAGAATCAACATCTGAGCAGTGGCGGACGGAGACGAGTCGCTCTGACGTGTTCGATGTTTACATCATTCAAACAGTAAATAAAAATGGACGACCAGTCTCCAGAAATGAAGCTAAGATATCTCTGATACAGGCGCTGCCATCTTGTGCCAAACACGTCATCTAGAGTCCCGTGGGACGGGATATGGAACGAGGTAGCAACAGTGCTCGACCAATCCTGAGTCGGCCTCAGCTGTCAATCATATCTCTTATAAATAATTTAGGCTCCAGGTTGATTTTACACAACTTCTTCGTTATTAGTATAGAGTATTTCCTGTTGTACCGCCCCCTCTCGTCTTCACACATCCATCTCAGACGCTGTTCTTGGGTTCTATGGCTCCCACAGTCACTGTGATAATCAGCTGACTGATGGTGGCGGAGCTGAGCTCAGTTTCCTCCGCTCGCTGCGTGTCTTTAAACAGAGCTGCTAAATGTCCTAACACTGTCAGCTCGTCTCCAGCAGCAGATTAAAAACCTTCATCGTCCCGACGCAGAAAAACTATGATCATCCGCAGTGAAATACGAGAACTGACGCGACAGACGAGCCTCAGCTTGTGGATTTGTTTTTATGTCGACAGAGTCGTCGTGTTTCTGAACGTTTGGATTTTTTGTTCATGTCTCAGTCATTTTTCTGCAGCTCATGAACGTTTAAACCGTCCATCAGAGATTCTCCTGAGGAGAAACATGGATGTGATGGATTCAAGGAAACTCAGACATCAAACTTCCTTCTGTCTGTTTTCTTTATGACTGATCAATGACACACGACTGAATGAACAGGTTTTTTTAATGGATTAACTTCAGATGAGAGTTTCCTACTTACTTACTAAATACTTTTTGTATGTAATTTAAAAGTTATATCTTTGCACTTACACAGTATTGAAGTCAACAGTACCTGTTTGAACCGGGCCAGTTCTTTTAAGGCGCGCCCCCACTGCTGCTTGTAGTGAAGCTTGGACTTGGTGGTGGACTCCAGCTTCCTCTCCAGTTCCACCTTAATTATCACACAAAAAAGATTGTTAATTAAATACAGAGACAATTTACGATGATGATGATGATGATGATTATTCTTCTTCTTCACTAAACTCATTGAAATCAACTTGTTAAAGTTAAATAAAATAATCGAGATCAAACTTCAATCTCCCAAGTGACTCCCATGGACCTATGGTGACTCCTGCCCCATACATGCCCCATCTTCAACTATCTACCACATAGCCGGCCTGAAGGCATTTCAAATACATCATCTTCTATCCATGGAGCAAAAAACTGAAAAAATTATTTAAAAAAACAAACCAAAGAGTTTTGGGTGCACTATGCTTCCGTAAGAAAATAACTGGATTTACTGAATTTTAATAATGAATTTAACAGATTATACTCGGACATAAATTAATTTCTCAGCTTGAGGTCCTCCTGACTGAACAATCTTCTATGTATCTGCATAACTAATTATCCTGGTAGTAACGACACGTGTCAATCACCTTCTCCAGCGTCAGCAGGTTGACCTCTGACTGCAGTCTGAACTCAGGCCTCATGTTCTGTTGTTCTCTGTAGAGATGAAATTCTTTCTCCAGCTGTTTGTACCGAGACTCAGCGTCTGAAATCTGCTCAACGCAAACAGACGAGTGGAAGAAGTTATTATTTCTGAATCCATTCTGAATCACAGAGCGGGTTCTGAGTCTCTGCCTCCACCTGCTGCAGCAGCCGTCCTCTCTCCTCCTCCATCAGTCGCACTTTGTCTCGCTCCAGCGCCACCCGGTGGTCAGAGTCCTGCTGCAGCCTCCGGCCTCTCTCCTGCAGCTCTCTCTGGGTCAGCTCGTGTTCAGCTCGCAGGTCCCTCTGCAGCCGCTGAGTCTGGACACACACAAAGACAAACTTTTAAAACACTGCACAAAATAAAACTCTCATGCAGACACGTCACCTCTCTTCTGCTCTGTAGAGTAAACTGAGAGATGGACACTGACCTGGAGTTCAGCCTCCGCCAGCTGTTTCTCTCTTTTCTCCAAATCACACAGAGTTTTCTGGAGCTGCTCCTCCAGCAGATTAAACTCCACCTCCTACAGATGGACGGATGAAAAGACGAGAGAAGACAGACGTGTTGAGTCAGTACAGTCACTTCAGTCCGATGTGTGTGTCGGACGTTTGTGTTGAGGCATCGACTCTCGTCACCTTCTTCTTGACCAGAGCTTCTCTCTCTCCATCTCTCCTCCTCCACTCCTCTGCCAGCGCCTGCATGTGGCTCAGCTCCTTCTTCTTCAGCTGAAAACATAGATTAACACTTTATTCACATTTAATGCAACAGAACATGAAAACATCAGCATGAAGGAGGAGAGCGAGTCAAACATCTGATTAACTTCAGTCGCGTTTTGAGAGCTCCACGTAAAACTTTGTCTTCAGAGTCAGAACAATAAACTAAACTTTCAATAAACTTTCCCGTTGCAGAGTAGATGTGGTTAAATAATTTATTTTTTAATAAAAGAAATATATTTTTTAATGTAAATAAAAAGCTGCAGCACAAACAGACAATGTCTTTTACTGGTTTTTCCAACAAACAGAAAAAATTTAAGCAGAATAGAGAATTGAAAATAAATGTTAAAATAACTTCAAATAAGAATAAATCATTTTATTTGTCTATTTCCAGAACTACATCTTAACTAGTCTGTTCTACTGTAAACGTACATGTTGTTGATAAGAAACCTGCCAGTGTGATTACAGATGTTTTTACCTGATCATCGAACAGATCCTCCTGCTCCTCCTTCCACAGCTCCAGCTCCAGGGCCGTGCGGTACTCCAGGGTGTCTCTGGGGGCCGCGGGGCCCAGTGGGGCGTTGGGCAGGCTGGGTGGTGCAGGGTGGGGGGGTGGTGGTGTGGGGGCTTCAAGTTCAATCTGAGAGAACAGAGCAAAAACTTCTGAGCATGATTTTACAAACTTCTCATTTAACATCTAAATTTTAAAAATCCAGGAGAAGATATAAGTTGTTCCACTCCAGTCCAGCATGTGGCGATAAAGCAGACAATAAACTATAGAACTGTGATGATGCCGTACATCAAACTGACACAAGGAAATAAATATTTACTTCCTGGATAAAAACCACAAATGAAAACAAAGATGGACGACACTGTTGACGCCGCTGACCCCTGCAGGGAACTCTGGGTAATAATTAGAGCTCAGACTTCATGTCAACATTCACACACAGTCGTGTCACCTGTGAAGAGTCGGACAGGATGACCTCTCTGGCTTTGACCAGTCCCAGGTCTTCCAGAGTCGCCACGTAGCTCAACTCTGCGACCTTCTCCGAGGGACTGAGGGGAGGAAACACTGACGTTAAACATGAACGACCACATTATCGTCCGTAACGGCCGGCGGTCGGTGTGTTTTGTTACCGGTGTGTTTTCACCACAGGGACTCGGTCCTGATGAGTTTGTCTCCAGCTCTGATCTCCTGTGGACGTCTGGAATCTGCTCCTCTCAGAGCTCAGCAGGTGGGACAGTTGGACGGAGGCTCGTCCCATCAGCTGGTCTCTGCTGGACGAGTCTTTGTGCCACAGCTCCACCACCAGAGGAACTCTACAGAACACACACACACACACACACACACAGTGTACCAGACTGCAGGACAGGCATCAAAAACACAGTCCTGTAGCACCACCTGCTGGTCCTAAAGTGACCTTGCAAACAGTGAGGAGGTTTTCACTCGAGTTGAAGGTTCAGTGTGTAAGATTACGTGCGAGTGCGTTGAGGTAAAACTGTTCCTACCTGAGAAACGTGTCCTGCAGCTGCTGCGGTAAAGCAGCAAAGTCGAAGGCGCAGTAAGACTGAGGCAGCGACACCTCCGTGTTCCTCAGCAGCTCCACAGGAGGGCTGGTCATTATGGGAGCTGCGCTGCCGAAGAACTGATACGAGTATCTGAAGTAAAACATGTTGACAACATGAGACGTCAAGTTTCAGGACTCGGTGGTTTGTTACTGGGACCAGTGACGTTTCATTACAGACTCTAAAAAACATTCGTGGACTAAGATGGTTTTTCTTTTTTTAATTAATTTTGTTAATAAAGAACTTTGTCCTCAGACAAAAACACAAAGTTGGACGTACCAACAATGATTATTACGTATGCGTTCACGTGTCTTTACACTGAAACCTGTGAGTAAAAACATTATTAAAAACTGTGAGATGAAGATTCACGAGCTAAAAATTAGAACCTGATCTATTGACTGATCGTTTGATAAAATATTGGTCGATATGATCCTTTCAGACAAATAAGTGTTTATATTCCCTGATATGGAATGTACAACAAAGTTTATGATTAAACTGTAAAATATTGAGACTAAAAAAAACAACATCCTCAGAATCATTGACAATTATAATTTTTTAATCCACATCAGTCGGTTTGTAAAACAGTTCTTCACCTGAGCGTAGCAGCGATGGGGTGAATCAGGCTGAGGCCTCTCAGGCTCCGGAGGTCCAGAGAGAAGCAGAAGTGATGGGCGGAGGAGGGGATGGACACTTTAGGAGCAGAAATGCTGACAGACGATGCTCCGCCCTCGGCTGCGGCTGCGGCCCGACTCTGCAGCTGCACGGGAACATCTGCATCTGGACACGAGAACAAGCACAATGTCACCGGTCCTGTCTGTTGTGCAGGGTTTGACCTGTCTAACGTCTGGTTTGTAAAATGGAACGGACTGTTGAGCTTCACCTGTCGCTCTCGTCTGTTCTTTGCCTCGTTGAAGCTCCTCCAGGAGACTCTCCGCCTCGCTCTCTGTATGAGAGGAAGCAGGAGGAAGAGGAGGACCGGGGGGAGGAGAGTCGGGAGGTTTTTGCACTGGAGACGAGCATCGAGGTCTTTGTTCAACAGGAGGAACTGAGGGAGGAGGGAGGGACTTTGTCTGAGCTCCACTTCCTTCTTTATTTCCTAAAGACTGGAGGAAACAGATAAAATATTACAGAACTGTTTTTGTACCAACTGTGTGATTTTATTTGATGCTGCAAAAACTGAAACAAATGACGTAAGAAAATAAAACCAGAGGTTGACAAGGCAGAAACGTTGTACCTGTGGCGTTGCCTCCTCTCTCCTCAGAGTAACGGCCACCCCGACGGTCGGCTGCAGGTCGGCAGGAAGGGCAGGCAGCGTCTGTTTGATGCGTTTCGGAGGTTTGAGCACAAACGCTCCCTCCATCGTCGCTCCTTTGCTCTCGAGATCCACAGAAACTGCAGCCAGAGCTGAGAGAGACACGTCGGTGCTGCCCAGAGAGTGATTCCCACAGCACAGGTGGATCTGAGGATGGACGAGGACATGACACATGATGAGACATGATGCATGAACAGGAACATGTGGTGAGGAGTAATCTGTCTCTGACTCTCACCTGTAAACTGGGCTGCTGGGACAGGAAGGTCTGAAGGATCTGTTTGCTGCTGCGGATGCGCACTGAGGCGCGCTCGGGCTCAAAGTCGGGGGTCAGCAGGTTGTGAAACGGCTCGCTGGTGATGTCGTTGCCCAGTAAAGAGTAGTAGAAGAAGAACTCTGACCCCCCTGCTGAAAGTTTCATGGTGCTGGGGATCAACTACAGGGAACAACACAACAGTCACATGAAGATGGTGGTTTATGTTAATGTTTTAAACCAATTCTTAGTTAAAGTTTAATGTTACTAAATGTAATTCAGCTTTTCTCAGGTGAAAGTGAAAATATGACAAGAGTCTGTTACAGTTTTCCTGCGATCGCTTCAAAAAGATTTCTGTGTCTCGTGTTTACCTGTTCCAGTTTAGTGGCGAAGGCCACAGTGATGGACAGGACGAACATGTCGGTGCAGTGATCTGCAGGTCCGACCTGATGGTAACCCTGGTCTGAGATCAGTTCAGCCTCCAGTTTGTCTGGAAGCAGCTCAGCTGCTGCAGGAGAACCTGAAGCAGAACGAGTGGGAGGAGACAACATTTAAACAAACATTGATATAAAGATAAAAATCAAACAATAAAAGTCAAAGTCTAAAGAATTAACACCAACAGGGACGAATTAAATAGAAAACTTTCTTGCAAATCCTGCAGCAAATTATTTTACAAGAACGTCTTTGACACTGACGCCATGTTTACAATTCAATGTAAACTGGCAGCATGAAGGATGAGGAGCCAACAAGGACTCAGTGTCAGTCGAGTTTCAGTGTCAACAGTCACTTAAATTGAATCATTCTCATTAATATCAGTTCTCTCAATATATCTGTCAAAAAAAAACAAAAAAAAGATAGTAAAGATTGATCAACACCAAAACTGAAGTCTTCTCTGACCCACAACATTCCACAGAGTGTTGTGTTAATCATTAGTTTTTGTTCTAATGCTGCAAAAACTCAAACCGATGCAAGAACAGCACAAATAAACAGTATGGACCTTGTCGGGGCGGGGCCTTCCTGGCTTTGAACCTATCAGGAGAAGGCTCAGAGGACTTGGCGTCGTTCTCCAGCAGCGCGGCGAGGAGGAGCGCTGGCCTCTGTTTGGTGTATTTACTGCTCAGCAGTGGATACCAGCGAGGCTCCTGAGATACAAACACAAACTCATCTCTCATCGTATGTCACAACATCACAGCAGATCGACCTCTCGCAGACACAGAGGAGGAGACATTCACCTGTTTGACTTCCTGTACGGAGCGCAGGTCCAGGACGATGTAGCCGACACAATCTCTTTTCTTGCTGACGGAGTCAACAGTGAAACACTGAAGCTTGATGGGAGTTCTCTGAAGTCTGTGGGGGAAAGAAGTCAAAACATGAGGTTCATTGAATAGTGGAGGTTCGTCATAATGAATTGTGTCTGTTTGTAATGTTGTTATAAACTGCCGTGTGGTCGGTGCAGACCTGTGTTGGTGCAGCGTCCTGCGGTCCAGCTCCCAGGCCAGCTCGGTGCTGAACTGCGGCTGCTCTCTGTGCTCCACCGGGTCTGTGGCGAGCTGCTCTCCGTCAAAGTTCGCCTGAACCACGAGACTAAGACGAGGAGTCTTCGGGAAGTGACGACCTGAAGACAAGAGAGAAACCATCAGTGTGAATCACATCCCTCCACAGACAGGTGACAGTCTCAGGCGGCTGAGATCGTGAGTAAAACTGATAAAATGTTTGTTTTAAGAGAAAAAGGTCGTCGTCAACAACAACAACAACAACAACAACAACAAATGAGCGTCGGTTGGACTCCTGCTTCTCTCTGAGTCATTTCATTTGTGTGAACCAGGATCTGTTTCACATCATATTCTTTATACGTGTTTACAATCAACTCACGATCGTTCACACTGTAAATGAACTGTTGGTCCTGTCGGTCCGTGTGAAGCTGATGCCTCTCTGTGTGTGTTGTGTATCGGTTCTCACCTTCCAGAATAGACACAACAATCAGAAGTTGTTCAGTCTTGGTCGCCATGACGTCATCAGGAAACGCCTGTTGATTCAATTTGAGTTTGAATTGAACCTGAATTTAATCCTGAAGTGATTTAAATTAACTGATTAAAACAAACCGACTGAGACTGTGAGAAACATTAAGAAACAAACTGAGACTGTGAGAAACAATAAGAAACAAACTGAGACTGTGAGAAACATTAAGAAACAAACTGA